ACTTGCCTGCTAACCAGACGGCTGGCGGTTCAAACCCACCAGCCACTCCTCGGAAGGAAGGTTGGGCAATCCTACTTCCGTAGTGATATTGCCTCTAAAACCCAAGGAGGGGTCGCTATGAGTCGGAGCCGACTCGACGGCACATAACAACAACAACAACATATACATGCATTTAGTCATAGCCACCTGTCAAGTATATTAAATTTAACTATTGGCTTAATCTTAATTCAAAAATAAATAAAAATGTGTTCTTCATTACGTCCCCTTCCCAACTGTCTTTACCTACATCTCTTCATTAATGTAAAATGGCAGAGAAAGTGTAAATCTGAAAAAATTCTGATGTATCTTCCATACCTCTTCTAGTGTAGTGTCTGAAACCCCATAGCCTGTAAGATGAAGATGATGTAGGTTCTGGTCCAGAGCCTGAAAGAGCCCTTTAAAGCTGTCCTTGTCTGCATCCTTTGGAAGAGCATACGCCAGCTCACTCCGACTGCAAGCTTTGAGAAATGCTTGGGGAATATAGATCTGTATCAAAGATGTAACACGAGCTAAGTCTTTCAGATCATCAATCTCCAGAACAGAGGGCTAGTTAAAAAAAAAAAAAAAGTGAGAAAACAGTAAGGTATCGAAATCTAAATATGCATCAGTTGATTCCATATGTATCCATAAGCAAATTATTTTTGAAATATCATCTCAAAACAGTAAATTCAGGAAATATCATTTAAATGATAGACATTTCAATGATACATTGTATTTTTCCTTTTTTTTGAATTTTAATTTATGGTGATAACTTGATGAGTACAGGTCCACATGCCCTCTTTGGTTACTGGACATATTATGCAAAGCTACCAAAAGCTCTATATTCTGGAGGTACAAAGGACCCCTGACAGAATCATAAAGAAGACTCTGTGCCTAACACCTGGACCACCAAAATACAGGGCTAAACCTTTCTGAAAGGGAAGCAGGGATTCCCAACCGTGAAGGAACTGTTACGGATTGAATGGTGAAATCTTAACTCCTGTACTTGTAAATATGACCCTGTTTAAAGATAGGGTATTTCTTTTGTTATGTTAATGATGAGACTAGAGTACAGTGGGTCCTAAACTTAATCATATCTGAGTTATAAACAGAGCAGAACAGACACAGAGACGCATGAAGAAGTACCAGGAAAAGTCAATTGAGACAGATGTATTTATGAGAATTTCTGGCAGGCATGAAAATCTGAAATAGAAAAGGAAGGACCTATCCCTAGATCTACACTGTTATTTTGCACTTCCAGCCTCCTGAACCTGAGAAAATAAATTTTCTTTTTTAAAGCCACTTTTATGGTACCTTTTGTTATGGCAGCACTTAGTAACTGGTGGCATAGTGCCTAAGCCATTTGACTGCTAACCAGAAGGCTGGCAGTTCTAATCCATCAGCCACTCCTCAGAAGGAAAATTGATCAATCTACTTCCATAGTGATACTGCCTCAGAATCCCAAGGAGGGGTCACTATGAGTTGGATCTGACTTGATGGCAGTGAGTTTGGTTTTTGGTTTTGAGAATCTAAATAATAACAAAGACAGGAACCTTCTCAGGAAGGGAAAATAAAAACTGATTACCATTGAGTTAATTCTGACACATAGTGACCCTATAGGACAGAGTAGAGTGGCCCCACAGAGTTTCTAAAGGTGTAACCTTTATGAAAGTAACCTGCCCACATCTTTCTCCTACAGAGCAGCTAGTGGATTCAGACTGCCAACCATTTGTTAGCAGCCAAATGCTTAACAACTGAGCTGTCAATGTTCCTTGGAAGGCAAGATATTTACCCTGAATTAGAGAGGAAACAAATAGGAACCTCGGCTCTAGGCTAATGAACAGACTTGGCCAGGGTCAGGAAGAGTTAGAGACATAGTGGTGCTCCACAAACCTGTCCCACTAATTCTTCACTGAAGAAGAGCTGCTCTTATAACCATAGAGAATGGAGTGATTTTTCCATGTCCACAGCTGCAGAGATCCAGATCAAGAACCGCCACTGCCTTCTCCCAGTTGGCACAGGCAATACTAACTATAAATGAGACATAGATCTCACCATCCAGGTCCCAGTCTAGCCCTTCTACTCTGCTTCTGAATTATGGTAATTTTTAATATTATTATTATTATTTTAAGTTTTGTTTTATGTGATAAGCATATACATAACAAAATATTTGTCATTTCAATATTTTTTTATAGATACATTTCAGTGACATTAACTACATTCCTATTATGTAACCACCACCACTATCTGTTTCCAATCATCCTTAACAGAAACTCAGTGTCCTAAGTAATCGCCTCTCTTTCATCCTTAGTAACCACTACTACTAAACTTTGGTATCTATATGTTTGCTTATTCTAGGTATTTCATATAAATGTCATTATATAATATGTGTGCTTTTGTGACTGACTTATTTTCACTCATCAAAATGTTTTCAAGGTGAATCCATATCATAACATGTATCAGGACTTCATTTCTCTGTACAACAGAATAATACTTCATTGTATTATGTATCGTAATTTGTTTATGTTTGGTAAAGTATTAATACAGGCTTTCACCTAACCTAAATACCATTTCAGAAGAAAATCTATTGTTAGAATATCTGAGGCATACTTCCTCAGACACAGAACTAGACAGACATAGAAGCACCTATCAGGAAATTTTGACCATTCATCTGTTTCTTTCTGACTTTCAAAATGCCTGCTCCATTTCCCAAAGGCTACCTGCCCCTGATCAGCACTATTGGAACTTATGTTGTTATGTAGTCTTGTGTGAGGGAGAGGTAGTTGTTCAGTGGTGAGATCTTCATTTCCATGAGGGAAAATCGATTCAATTCCAGCCCAGTTCACCTCATGCAAAGTCACCACACATCTCTGTCAGTGGAGGATTGTGTGTTGCTATGATACTAAACAAGTTTCAATGTAGCTCCCAGACTGTGAAGCACTAGGAAGAAAGACCTGGTGATCTACTTCTGAAAATTAGCCAGTGAAAACCCTATGTATCACAATGGTCTGATCTGCAAAAGATCATGGGAATGGCACAGGACTGGGCAGTGTTTTTCTCAGTTGTGGAAGGTGTCACCATGAGTTGGGGTGGACTCAGTGGCAGCTGACAACAGTAACAACAGACCTTCTTACCTAGAAGGCCTCCTCTTAGATTACCAATCTCTTTCTGTGTAGCTTCGTCTTCCTTCCAAATTCAAAAACATTTGTAAAGAGTTCTCCACCTCTCTGGGACTTGATTCCATTACTATTACACTATAGTTATCATATTTTGTTTGTTTATATTTGGGGGCATCTTTGCCTCCATTTGTACTGAGATTACAAGTACTTGTGTGCAGAAATCATGTGTCCTGTGTCCTGTGTCCTCCCTCTCTCTTTCTTTCTTGTTTTTACTTTCCCAAAAACCTATAGCAATACAAGGCATGGAAGATTCAAAATAAATATCTACTAAATTGATCTGAATTAGATTCAATGTGTAAATCACTGTTATTGCATTAAAGCCACTTGCTTCTTATGTCACAACAGGAAGGTAATTTTCTAAATGTAACTAAGTCTAGCTCTAAAGCTCTATATTCCATACCTGCCTTGTGAGCATCAGGTTGAGCCCCTGGCCATAAGCCTCCTTCAGGCAGAAGGCAGGGCCACAGCACCTGAGCTGCCCCTGCTGAAGGATGGCAATACGATCACCGAGCACTTCTGCTTCATCCAAGTGGTGAGTTGTAAAAATGATTGTGTGACCTGTATCTCAAGAGAAGGGAGAATCAGAATTGGCATAACAAAGGTCCCTGGAAAAGTACACTGATTCTTTCTTTCAAATGGTAGAGCTGGCAGAAAATTTAAAGATTATCATTAATTTTAAAATTAAAAAAAAATTGAAATGATTCTTTTAGAAATGTCTTAATTAAGGTCAGTTAGAAAATCAAAGTCCTGAAATTCTTTCCTCGATTATTAGCTCTTGACTGCTAACCAGAAGGCTGGTCGTTCAAACCCACCAGCCACTACTTGGAAGGAAGGTTGGGCAATCTTCTTCTGTAGTGATACTGCCTCGACAATCCAAGGAGGGGTCGCTATGAGTCGGGTCCTACTTGACGGCACATAACAATAACAACAACACCACCTTCATTATAGAGTCCTTGGATGGTGCAAACAGTTAAGCTCTCAACTACTAACTGAAAGGTTGGTGGTTCAAACCTCACCCAGAGGCACTTCAGAAGAAAGGCCTGGTGATATACTTCCACAAGATTATAGTCATGAAAACCTTATGGAGCACAATTCTACTTTGCACACAGGGGTTGCCATAAGTCAGAATTAGCTCAACGGCGACAAGTTACCTTCATTACTACTGTTTTCTACAAACCTTCCATCCTCCTCACAAATTGAAGGGGCACTCTGACATCCACTAAGGCTGAAATTGAGGAATAAAACACTGAGTTACTGGTCTTGGCCACCTTCTTCTGTGAGACCCAAATGTTGATTATTAAGTAAATGGATTAAAAAAAAATTAAAAGAAACACTGGACCATGAATCTTTCTCTCTCTCTCTGTCTCTCTATTCTGATACCCAAGTCCTACTCTTTACTCTCCTTATGTACTTAAAGAGAAGACTATATTCTATTGAAGTAGCTACTACATAAGAGTGATCTCTGGTAGCATAGTGCCTAAAGCACTTGACTGCTAACCGAAAGGCTGGAGGTTCAAACCCACCAGCCACTCCTCAGAAGGAAGATGGGGCAATCTACTGTGGTGATACTGCCTCGGAAACCCAAGGAAGGGTCACTATGAGTCGGGTCAAACTCGACGGCACATAACAACAACAATAACACTACATAAGAAAATAGAACAAGTGTTATGTTAGAGCAGAGGTTAATCATACAAAATATCTCTGAAAATTGTCATTAGAGAGCAAAGTCCAGAGAAAATAAAAGGTGAACCTTTTTTTTAAAAGTAAATTTGTACAAAGTTTACTTCAGTTATGCAATGGGGAGATATAAATAATTGTAGCTTCTACAATCTCTGTTTGCTTGAATTGAGCTCAATTCTACGAATAGGATAGAAATTAAACACTATTGGTCGATTCTTTTTTTCTTTTTTTAATTTTATTTTGATTTGGATGAAGATTTACAGAGTAAATTCACTTTTCATATAGCAGTTCACATATACTTTGTCTCATGTCATTGACCAAAATTTACAATGCAACAGCTCCCCT